CTCTCTCTCTCTCTCTCTCTCTCACACACACACACACACACACACACACACAGGGAGGGAGGGAGGGAGGGAGGGAGGGCGCATAAGCAAATTTGTGCATTTTCTCTAGTCTGTGGGCCTGAGCGCCACATCTTTTCAGGATCTAGCACAGACGCTGGGAAATCTGCGATATCCTCTGGGATCTGGGATTCTTTTCAGATGTTACTTTGCACACTAACATGATTTTACTGCAGCAACATTCACCATCATCACCATACAATACCCAAAGGATAATAAATCAAACCCAATGACTCTAATTACTTCTTTATTGGTATCATTAGCCACTTTTGCTCTTTTGAAAAAGAGGGCAGAATGCAAGCTAACTAGCTAGCTAGCTAGGCTTGTACAGAGGCAGGGATCATGAAATTGCTGCCTCTGTATAAGCCTATGGACTATAAGAATGTTAAGAGTGTTCAGAGCCCCTCCCAAGGAGGCAGATGGTGCTACTAACTTGGGACTCTGAGTTCGAATCACCCACCACCTTGCAGGTCCTGTGAAAAGAACAATGACAACTGCTTCCTGAGGTCACACGGAAGGGAATAGTAGGTGTTCAAGTGGGCAGAGTGCAGCAAGTCCGGGATACGAGGAATATGATGGTCTCCCCAATTCTGGCCCAGCTCCCACAAATGTGCCCTCTTTAGTTAGGCTCAACAGTCCATCGGGGGGGGGGATCTGTAAGGAGGATGCGGGGGGCAAAATTGTGTTGGTCGCTGGTTCTGTCTTATGTAGATCAAAGCCTCCAGAAGCCTCCCCTTCTACAAGCATTATTTACTGATCTGATTAAAGTCTCAAATAGTATTGTGAGGAACCCAGGGCAGCTTACATTGTTCTCCTGCTCTCCATTTTAGCCTCATAACAGCAGCCCTGGGAAGCAGGTTAGGCTGAGAGTGAGTGCCTGGCCCAAGGTGACTTTCAGGAACAGAACCTGGATCTCTCAGGTCCTAGTCCAAAACTTTAACCATCATGCTACACTGGCTCTAAACCATCCTATACAACCAGCCTATGCAATGGCAGTCTTACTTGGAATATATGCACAGAAAGAGTTAAGTTAAACTAACACTGGATAAAAGCCACAATCTCCAGGATTCAACATTTAGAGCATTTGGAGCACTCAATTCACATTACTTTAGCAAGAACTTAGTAATGCACCAAGAACTCTTGTAGCCCCTTCATGGTTAACAAATCTACTATGGGGGAAGCTTTCACAGACTAGATGCAGCTTGTAAAGCACATCATGTTGCTGTGGCTAAGAGAGAGCTGTTTGTCTTAAAGCCACTTTCTGGTAGAAACAAGATCTGAAGCCAGGCCTTCCCAATTCAGATAAATAAATACAGATAAACTGAGATAAATATACCAGAATAGTTTCATAATGGAGATGCAAGGTTTCCTTGGGTCACCCAAATGACTGTCAGGCCACCAAAATAAATACATTTTAACTGCAGCTGGTTGAATAGCAGCAGGCAGCTTTGGGGTTGCCCAGCTTGTAGAGTCCCTTTTGTCAGGACACTAAAGCTAACACGATTACCTGACCTTGCACATGGTTATGGACAAAGGATCTTAAGTGATGCATTTATATGGTGACCCAGCAAGACTGGTTTTCTCTGTTTAACTGTTTCCAGCTAGACTTCTCCAATACATTCCATGCAGAAAACATGTGAGCAGGGAAAGAATCTCTATCAGAAGAGCTGTTGTTTGGCCCAGGAGCTCTGCACCCCTCCAGATTTCCATGTGACATAAAATAGTGGGGGAATTCACAAATACATGTACAAAGTAATTACTAGTGCATGACTTTGCCACCATATGCATAGCTAGAGGGCTCTGGCTGATCATAAGTTCAAATGAGGCCTCAAATGTCAAAGACAAAGCATGTTTAAACTGGACCGTGTGCCCATTGGGATATCAGGGGAACGAATACTCACAAAAAGAACAGCACACTTCAAAAAAACAAAAGCCTTTCCATATCAGTGCTGTCTTCAGACCGCTGGGTGGAGGTGGGGAATGCAGTTGCTGCAATCTAAAGAGTTACACAATGCACTTAATCTGTTTTAAAGGCGTGGCTTAGACACCTCATCCATATAACTCCATCGCACTGCTTCGATGAGCAGAGAAAAAAGCTTGAGGAAGCTGCAAACAACTAACTTTGAACAAAGTTATTATGATGGGAGATTAAGGAAAGCTTGGAGCTGCATCGTCTGGGCCTGAGGTGGGCCTGAGAAGCTGTTTAAATAAAAAGGGGCTTCAGTCTTTCTGCTGTGCCATGGTATTGGTGAAACTACCCCATACCTGCTATTTACCCCAAGATGGAAGCTGCCATTGTTGTCCATGGCATCTCTTTCCCAAGGTTCACTAGGAGCACAACACAGGAGGAAAGGGTCCTCCATGGCTCATGGAGCACTCCCTCACCTGATTTCTCCCTCCCCAGTTGCTTTTAAGGTAACAAAATCCAGGCACATGAAATGCTCAGGGGAAGTTAACCTATTTCTGCTTTGGCAATGGGTCACTTCAAATGCCTCCTTAGCAAATATA